AGCCACTGTGGATACAGAAGCTAACACCTCTCTATGTCTCAATTCTCTGAATTGCTTGATTAGATAATTTCTGTGATTCTAATGTGAAGAAATTAGATAAAGTTACCCAAACATACTTTATTGGTAAGTTATGTATGAAAACTAATTTAAAACTCTTTTATTTAACCATTATTGCTGTATGTTCTTAGCAGTTAAAATGTGTCAAAAATATAAAATGTAAATAGGATAACTATAAGATAATTTTAATAAAAGAACAAAATTGAAGCACCTTTTTAGATCAAATGTCATCTTAACTGTTCAGGAGAGTTAAGACAAAATATTAAGGACTACCCTTAACTACCATTGGTACAGTAAATTAATCTTTAGACTAAGTATCCTTAACTGGTTTTATTTTATTTAAAGAAATATATTTTCCCCCTAGGATTTCATTATGAAAAAAAATTCTGGCTACCAAATAATTACTTACGATATTTTGTAAGAATATGCCCAAATAGGTAGAAGACAATTGACTATTGATGATCTTTTGAAAATAAACTACACTGTCATATTTTGTACTTTAAAAAAATCTGTTTCATATTTTTAAAATATGATATTAATTTCTTGTATGACTCTTACACTAATTTTTTTTAGGTTATTTATTTATATATATTTTGTATCATTGTTCATTTTTAAACAATGTTGGCTTCCCCTCCCCACCGCCTCAGGTATAGTCCCCATAAGATTTCCTCCACCAATTCACCCACGCACTAGATCAAGAAGATGTGGTTTATCATAAATGGAATACTATTCAGCAATAAAAAAGATAAACTAATGCAATTTGCAGCAATATGGATGGAGCTAGAAGGAAATATGCTCAGTGAAATAAGTCAGAAGGAAAAAGAAAAATATCGGATGGTTTCACTTATAGGAGGAATATAGGGGAATATAAATATATATATATCATTAGACTAATCTTTTTGATGAAAATATTATCAATGGCTTTTCCTTATATAACTCAGAAAGCTCTTAAAGAGCTTCCAACATATGCATGACCTCCTTGTCATAATCCATGTTGAGTATCTTTAATCAAATTTTGTGACTCAAGGTGCTCCCTTTTGAATATCTTCAGATGTTCTCTAAATACTTTTTTTTAAAAAAGATTTATTTTTATTTATTTATTTATACAAGCACTGGGTACAGTCAGAAGCGTGGGAGGGTGAGAGAATTCACCAGAGTCAGAGCGGGGAGCAGAGCAGGCAGAAGGACCGAAGCACACTGCTGAGGGGAGCAGCGGGTGGCAGGAGAGGTCTGGGCACCATGTGGGACCCTCCTCAGGTGGTCGGGGAGCAGCCGGGGATCGAACTGGAGCAGCAGAGGCTGCGGGCAGCTTCGCAACCCGGCGCTCAACCGCTGCGCCACAGAACCTATTTTTTTTCTCATCAATCACATAAGAAATATAGGAGAACAAACAAGACATCTTTGAAGATTTCTGTTACTCACTTTGAAGTTTTAGACAACCAAAATAAAAGTTCTCCAACTTTGATGGTGCCAGGAATCATCTATGGACACTTACTGAAATTAAGATTCCCAGGCTCCACACTCAAGAGAATCTTAATTCACTAAGCTTCAGGTAAGGCCCAGAAGTTTGAATCTTTAATACATAATCCAGATGATTCTGATACAGGTGCTCTGTGGACCATACTTTGAGAAAAACTGCAAGTCATTTTGCCTGCAGTAACTATATGATACTCCCAGATGATAGGAAAAAGCATTCTGTTCTCATTGAAACTACGTTTTTCCAAAGAAGGTATACAAACCCCATAAGACCAGACAGAACAATCTACTGGAATAGGAAGAGGACATTAGAATTATCTTCTTATCTAAAAAGATAAGCTTCATTGATATTAAATAAAAATATTGATGAGGCACTAGGGACAGAGGAGGAGAGAGTGAGAGAAAGAGAATCAGAAAGAAAACATCGATAACAAAAATTCTGGAGGTGGTAAATGATTAAGTACACCAGAACTGTCAAAACTGAAGTTAGAAGCAAACTTGCTTTGCATTGCAGAACCCCAAAAGGCTCAGAAATCTGAATCATCAGGTATCTAAAAAGTGGGGCTGAAAGATTTGACTATTTCTATAAAAAAGCAGTTATACCACTTCTCCATTACAAATACCACTGGAATGTGTACAAAAAAGAGTAAAGATAGATAGAGGAAGTACTAGGGAAGTAAAAGAGAGGACTTCAAGACAGGAGAGAAGGAAAAATAATCAGGTTGATGGGCAAAGGCTCATACGGACAATCAGTTCACTGGAGGGAGAAGAGAGGAGACTTTTCATTGTTTATCTTTTTCATGGTTTTTTTTCCCACCATTTCAATCTCATGCCAAACCAAAAGGAAAAAAAAATTGAGCAAAAAGCAAATGAATTGAAATATAATTAACTGTTGGGGAAAATAATAAAAATTTCTCTTAAGGAAATCACTATCCTGGAGAACACACACGGCTTAATGGCACTTCTCTGACAATGATCCCCAAAGATAACTGAGAGAAAATAAAACTTAACCCACCACAATGCTAACGTTAAAAAGTTTTGGACCAGACATCTTTCATTTTCCATTTATTTTGTATCTCATGTCTACAAATCTTAATATCCTTTTCATCCTATGGATGTATATGTTTAGCTTAGATGCCCTGTGATGACTAAAGTCATACCAAGTAATTCTAAAATCACTTGATTCAAACTGCAAAAGGATAGGCTTTTTCTGGAATTCCAGAGTTTAGTAAAGAAACATCACTTTGACACTCATTTCAAATTTTTTAATTACTTAACTCCCCAAAATAAATAAATAGATTTTCTTTTTATTTTTCATTTAAGAGTATAGTAGCTTTTCCCCCTTGGCTCAGAGAGGACATTTATGCTTTAACTACCTTATTTTAACAACCTTCTTCAATAATTCTCTCCTAATCCCACTTCAATAAATTTCCTGATACTAGAGTCCTTTATACTGTATATCATTTTATATTACTTAGCAAATATTTCCACAAAAAGCTATTGGTTCCCACATTCTTAGTGAATTATCATAAAAAAGAAAATTTGTTTCTCCTGAGTATGCCACCTTTTTATTACTATTACTGATTTGGTATTATATCTACAAATAGGGCATTATCCTGTGGTTATCAACAAAATTTTCAAATTTTAAATAAATATTTATTTACAAAATAATTAGTCTTATTTTTTTCCCTCCAAAAATTTCTATCAAACCCAAGGGCAGCATTCCATTGCCACGTCTTCTTTATCTTACCTTTAAATGTGTTCTTTCGACAAATATTTACAAATACATTTATTATTGAATCATGTCCTATCTGAGTTTCATAAATTGTGAAAATTCTTTAAATTATATAAATTATAAGAAGAAAATAAGCTAAAAAATTTCTTGATCATCCAGTTTTAAATAAATTCTTCTCTAGAGTCAAAAAGCAAAATACTAGTGACATTTTTATTTAAACTCAACCTTTCATCTAAGAACATGTAATCTGTAAGAGTGACTATTACCCCAATTTTACCACCAAGGCACAGAATTACAGAGATTGTATTGAAGTGAACTCGAGGGGTTATCTAATCTACTTTCTATCTCTAAGAATGACTGCATTTTAACAATCCAAGAAATATGTCTATCTTCTCTATTTTTCAAAATCTCCAGGGAAGATGTTACAACTTGTCTAGCAATTTGCTCTGATGTGTAATATCCCTGTTTTACTCATAATCCAAATCTGCAGATAAGAAGATAAAACTGGATTTCCCAGTTCCTCAGCAAATGCTCTTACACATAGTTATACAATTCCCACAAAAATAAGTAGATAAAGAAACAGTTCAGTAACAAAAATTTCTAATTATCTAGTTGACTATTCAGCTGTTTCAAGCAATATTCATCTTCAAAATAGTCTGACCTAACAAAATGATTGGCCCCATCTGGATTTTATAATGTTTCCCTTTAGTATGAAAAGACATTACAACTATTAAATGTGTGTTTATGAGTCATAAAGACAATAATATCTAATATTTTTCAGGAAGTTTCTGGGTGCCAGACATACCTGTGGGTGTATACATGCATAACTTCACACTAAATCTTCACATTATTTCTACAAGGCAGGCACTATTGTTTTCCCTATAACAATAGTTCAAGTTTAGAGAATCCCTATAACAATAGTTCAAGTTTAGAGAAGGCAAGTTGTTCAATATCTCATAGATTGTCAGTAGAAGACAGGATTAAAACCTAGAGAGTTATGTTATCTTTTACTTTCTTTCTAACATTCACTTAATAAAGTTTAGTTATTTTTGTATTTATAAGCATTAGTATCATGTTTCCTTAATGTTGGTTGAAAAATCCATATTCATTTTTAAAAAGTTTTATTTAAATTTCTATTAGTCCCTCCATGTTTTTAACATCAAAGGTGATCTGGGGGAACCTTCTAAAAAACATGCATTCACATGACAAGCAACACATTAAATTTGTTTTTTTTAAAGTTTGCTTCGTTGATGTAAGATTTTTCTTACACCCATTCAGATTTGCTTTTAAAATGTATATATGAACTGAATCTTAGTTGTTTGGGATCTTATTCTTTCAAGGAACAAGAATGCTTCTAGGTCTTATTACTATTCTCAGTGAAAAGGGGAAGATTTCACATCTGAAGTAGTTCGAATTGGTTTCAATCTAAGTAGCTTATAAAATAAGTAACTATATAGAATGTTTCCCCAAATGTAAAGATAACTTTTAACTAGGTGAATGGCAATATGTTAGCCAAATAATTTCCTGAAGCATTGTTGCTTTATTAAGGTAATTTATATACAAGTATTATTATATAATATTAGTAAAGAGCATATTAGTATAAACAGTTGATTCTTTTTAATGATTTCTTAATATTTCAATCTATTAGTTGCACTGATATTTAAAAAGAAAAAACAGAACACTAAAAGTCATAAAACTTTGAAATTTAATTCATACTCCAATATTTTAATACCTTTTTCATTGTTTCCTTTCCCACTGTAATCTCATGCCCATCTTTCCCCATGCCATTTTGATAGAACAGGATTCGGACTGAGGTCTTCTCAGTAAGTTTCTTCATTCTAGTAGAAAGAATAGCCTTGGTTTTCTGTCTTTTGACATCAGTAGGAAGCATCAGCCCATTCATAGTCCAGGTTACTTTCTTCATTAACAACAGATGGTCTAGAAGGGAATTTTTTTTAAAGTAGAGTCAATATTTGGATTCAAAATTAAAAATGGACACATCATGCTTCCCCTCCTCCTACTACCTATATCACATACACCGGCCAGTCTTCATTTAGATGCTGGTTTTCTGAAATGCTACCACCAGCTTCCCACTAACTGTGGCAGAAGCTGTAGCAAGCTGTCTGCTCTGATAGCCTGCATAAATCATCATTTCTGAAGGGAACAGATGTTCAGGGTATGAAAGAGTAATACCACAATTTAGTCCTAATTAAAATTCACCTTAGCATGCCTCTATCACTGATCAGATGCACTGGGCTGAAAGGGTCCATTGAAAGGGCCCAAGGTCCTTTCCTTACTATAAAACAACATGGGTTCTGAACTGTTGTGTTCTTTGGGGTTGGGAAAACACTGTTTTCTCTTTAATATGATTTATTATCCATGTTGCTTTAAAGATGATGACCTCCAAATAGTAACCCCATACATAATTCTCCTATAACTAGAATGAAGGTGTCTTCTAGGACATCTTGAGTAAGAGATTAAAACTACTTCACGAAAAATGAAAATCACTTTTTCATTTACAGCTTACTTAGACCTGTATATTTTCAAAAATGCATGCATGAATTTAAGTTTCAAAACTCCCACTAAAGTTAATGGTAGTGCAACTAAATTACTATCTATGACATTGAAAATGTAAGAATGAGAATAGAAGTGTAGTATATTGCATACTAAGTTGTTGTCACCATCCCTCCCTTTTCAAGAGGTTTCATTTCATAAATAAATAATTTGTGCCTGAGTTATTTAATTTGTGAAATCAATATGCTTTAGATAATATTTTCTTTTCATATAAAATGCAAAAATACAATGATCCCTCCATTGTCTACTCTCTATTTGTGCTAATGAGAGAAATAAAATTTTATTTGCATGTAACTGAAAATAGCTGCATTTGTTTGCACAAATTTCCAACCCTTCCATACTGCTTCTTGCCTTGAAAGAAGCATGATGTCTTTGACCTAGAAACAGTGCTTTACATGAAATTTGCTAGTATTGATATGAAACACTAGCCAGTGGTTGTAACTAAACTTAAAGCTCCAGAATTGGTACATTAACTGTTCAAAAAATAAAACACTTTTCTCTCTCATCCTCTCTTACATGCAGGTACAGTCACACACATGAGCATACACACGAATGGAGGGCAGAAATATAAACAAAACTTTCAAAATCAAGTACAACCAGTTGATTAGGCATATAACCAAGCCTTGTAGAAGAGAAAAATATTTTGCAGAAATTAGTTACTATAAGTTATCATTTTGTAGTCTGAAATTGATAGTACGTAGAGTTAGAAAAATAAACTAGAAATTAAATAACTCATATATGCCTAAGAGTTAAAAATGGGTCCTCAAAAAATATATATGTACAAGCTTGCTCATAGCAACACTACATACAATATCCAAAAGGTGAGAACCAAATGTTCACCAATGGAAAGTAAACAAAAGCTGGAATATACATATGATGGAATATCATACAGCAATAAAAGGAATGAAATACTAATATATGCTAACGTATGGATGAACCTCAAAACAATATGCTAAGCAAAAGAATTCAGCCATAAAAGAAAACATACAATATATTCCATTTATATAAAATATTCAAAATAAGTAAATTCGTAGAAATAGAATGCAGACTGATGGTTGCCAGGGGCTGAGAGGAGAGCTGAGTGGGGAGAAACTGAATGGGCCAGGGGTTTTATTTTGTAATAATGAAAACTACATTGGAACTAGATAGAGGTGGCAATTTTACAATGTGGAGAATTTACTAAATGCCCCTGAATTGTTCAGTTTAAAAAGATTATTTTTATGTTATGTAAATTTCACCACAATAAATAAATGAGGACCAAGGGAGGTGGATGGTGGAGTAAGACTAATAGTTAATTTCTCTCTGAAAAAAAAAATCTCTCACTGGGATGTCTGATAGTATTCACTCTCAATCTGTACATCCCACAGATGCTTTGCAGAGTGGAAAGGGGATAAACTACTTTCAAATGAGGTTTGAATTTCAGCTCTGTTACTTGTCCCCCTAAATGAGTTCTACCTCCCTGAATCTCTGATATCTCATCTACAAAGTATGCAGTGGGCACCTCTCCACCACCTGATGAGGATTAAATATACTCTATTTAAAAATACCCAAAACTCTGAGGTCACTCCACAAATACTGGTGTCTCTGAAATCCTGTGGAGCTCTAATGTATATTATCGTTACATCATTCAGAATCCAACCAGAGAAAGAATCGAGTCACAGAATTTGAACAGAGGGTACTGAATGAAAGGGACTGGCTATGTGACAAGTATAAACTGAGAGGCAACAAAGAACAGTGACGAAATCCACAGAGAGCAAGAGCAAGAAACCACTTCTTTGGAAGTGGTCAACGGGAGATGATAGGGGTGATGGACTTAGAGAATTTTACCAATAAAGGATTTTCCCTTTCCATGATTAGGGTGAGGTAAGTGAAGGGCCGAGAATGCAAAATTTAAGGACGCACCCTCAGAGTGATGGAAGTGCAAACCCCTCAAAGTGAATGACACCTTAAATTGTATTCAGTAGGTATTTCATCAGGCTCACCCTAGTCCCAGCTTTGACTTTGGCTACCTCTTGTATATATAAAACTCCTGAATCCTATTAAAAATAGTGCTTACTAATAGTTAGGCACTGCTTTATATGATGTTATATGATTTATAGGTATTGATGCATATAGTTCCCTTAATAAGTTTATGGGATATATAATATCAGTCATTATTCACATTTATAGGTGAGGATACTGAGGCACAAAGACATTAAGTAACTTGTGCTACATCTTGCAGTTGGTAGGTGTTAGCATTGGGATATAAACTGAGCTCTAGGGCCTCCCTGGTGGCCCTATCTTATTTCTGCTAGGGGTTAAGCACCGCACTAGGAGGCAATCCACAGCCTCTGCAGCATGCGTTCGACCCCCGGCCGGCCAGGGAGCAACCCACATGGTGCAGCAGACCTCTCCTGACTTGCACGCTGCTCCCCTCAACAGTGTGTTTCACTCAGTCTGCCTGTTCTGTTCCCCTTTCTCTCCCTGGTGAATCCTCTCACCCCCCGCTTCTCTGGCCTGTACCCCAGCTCTTGTATGCATAAACAAATAAATCTTTAAAAATAAATAAATAAAATAAACTGAGTTCTAGAAACCATTCTCCTAATCAACACACATTTGGTCTCTACCATGCTTTTTGTCTCAAATTCAATATATATATAAAACAAACTCTCAAATCTCTGCACAATTGACATACCTGTCACATTTCTTATTTCTGCCAGTGCTTCCACTTCTTTCACAATTACCCATTATCTCAGGAAGTCCTTGAACTTTTGCCTACTATTCATTTTCTTCCAACCAGTTGCTTATTCATTCAATGATATTTATTGGGTGTCCATTTATCACTGCACCTGCACTGTTGACAGTTGTAAACATTTGTGAGCAAGGTGCAAATCATGACTTCTTGGGAGAGACAGACAGTGGAAGACCTCTCTGAAGAGGTGACATCTGAGAGAGAGGCCTGCCTGATAATTAGTCATGAAACACCGGGGTGACAGTATTCCAGGTAGAATGAAAATGAAGCACAAAGTCTCTTAGGTGATAATGAGCTTAGCTTGTTTGAGAAAGAAAAATAAGTTTGGATAGAGAGAGAATGTGTATGGATAAAGCCAAAGAGGTGGAAAAGGGGACCAGCTTGTGTAGGCCAGGAATATTGGATTTTATTCTAGATATGATGGGATGCTATTAGAAGATTCTCAGCAGAAAAGCATGTGAAGAATGTTATATAATGTTCCACTATAATATTATAGTGGAACACAGTAGACAATGGTGGTGCTCTGCCAGATTCCTATTACAACCTAGTATGCTCAAAATTCCAGCTACTTTGAGTTCCAACCTCCACCACCTCACAAGAGACCCTTTTCATGAGACCTGCCCTTGGCTGAAAGGAACAATCAGCTAGCCAAGAAATGTCTGTCAAGTGATGACCTCTTTCCCCTACAGAGTAGATCCCATAGCTAATGACTGACTGGAGGACACAACTGCTAGAGTCCTCTTACCTTTAGAAGGGGGCAACTCTGTGGTTTGTTTCCCACTCCAGATGAAGAACTTGGCTGAGTTTTTTCCTCTACACTGTGCTAATTCTCTCACTCATTTACATGTTCCATCTGAGAGTATTTCCTCACGAAATAATCCCTTACACAAAAATTTCCAGCTCAGACTCTGCTTCTAGGGAAACTGACCCAAGTCCAGGTCAAAGAAGGGGAAACCTACAGCTCAGCTAATCTCTCTTTGCAGTAATTCTTAAAACATCATTCCTTTCCATATCAAGATGGACCCACTTATCCATTGCTGTCTCAGCCTCCAATCAAATGCAAGTCTCTTAATTTATTTGACCCTACTCCATTACATCTAACATTCTACACTTCAATAACAGTTGGCTTTTTCTAAAATGTTAATTTTATCATTGAAGGAAAAAGCTCTTGGAACTAGTTTTTGAAATCTCCCACTAATCAGTTAGTCAGCCAGTTTCTCCATGTGTCAGGTAGTCAACAAATACTTAGCGGGCCTATCCTGTGTGCAGACCCTGTGCAAGGATTATGAAAAAATAGTCTCTTTCCTTAAATTTATGACCAACAAGAGAGTTTGATGGCAATCTGACACCATTCAAACTTCCTGGGTTTATCTTACCATAGTTTAAAGCACTATTCTACCTAAACTGATCTATTCATTATCCTATGAATATATAAGTATTATTTTAATCTCATCCTATTCAGACTCAAGTCCTTCTCAAGACCCAGTTAAATATCTTCATTTATTGCTCCACAAGAGCCTGTTATCTCACTGAATCCCTTGTGCACTTGTACCTCTACCCCCACCAATACATTCATCCAATAATGCCTAAGAACCTGCACAGGCACTATGATAGGTACTAAGGAAAGATCACA